GCTTTCGAACTAATTACCGGTGAGAACGAGAAAGGAAAAAGTTTGGAAAATGGTGGAAACTCGCGGGAACTTCGATTCGACTTTCACCCGGTCGCGGGCGGTGCGCGGAAAAATTCAATTTCCCTCGGCCGCGTCGAACGAACGCGCGTCGCATGTTCCCCGACTACTTTGTCGTATTCCCGAGCAGCCGCTTTAAGCCACGCGACACCGTTTCTAATTACGCGGCCCCGCTCAATTACCGGAGAATCGCGCGAGGCTCACGGTTACCGGTGGAAACGAGCGTCCGATTTCCAAGCTTCTCCGTTGGCAATTTGTGCGTCCCGATTTGCACGCGTGACGCGACCGGGAACGTGACCCGCGCGCATGATTCTCCGCGTATTGCATTTTTTCCCTAGCCCCCGACCTCAACGAATATTGCACGTCTCGTGTTTCATATGGCGTCGAATTTATCGGGGACAGAGTTAACGAGAAAACATTCTGTTCGTTGATTCTTGCGAGAGTAAAAATTTGCGTTTCGTTTCATTAGAAAGTAGACCGAAATATATTTGAAACGTGTTCATTTGCATTGACGTCGACGTTGAAACAATAGAAACAGACTTTAAGTTAAAATATATTCCTTCGATCACGAAGCTTAATACTTAATAAACATTACAGCTATCGAAACTAATTCCAAAAACAGTACGATTCAAATATTACACGCTGAAAATCAACGAGTTTCGTTAACATTCCTAATCAAACATGAATCGCAATATCACTTCCACCGGGTTCCCGAAATCGAATAATTCCCTACGGAAGAAGTAAGCTGGATGAAAAATTCATAATCCCGTCGAATGGATCGCCAACATTTTTAAGAAACAAAGCCGGCAATTTCCCTTTTATTCGTGGAACAAAAAGCGAGATCCTCCTCCGAGTGTCTTTTAACCGTAAATATCAGCCGGAATATTTTCCCTCGTGCACGACGGAGCGAGAGGGGAAAAAAGGGGTATCGCGGCGCAGGCGAACGGGGGAACCGGAAACCGTCGGGTGAACGAGGCCATTGTTTCCACCGGTCAACAGTGTTAATTTTCTCCGGGAGCTTGACGAGGGCCGAGCCGGCCGGACAGCGAGCAGAACGAACGGACAGAAATTCCCCGTGCATCATTGTGTTCGCTGGTAAACATTCGCTCGTAAGCGAATCGCATGGAGAGGCAAATTGGGTGCACCGGCCAGTCGATAATTCGCTGGTACGCGAAATTTTGTTGTTCTTCCTCTCGAATCCCACTCGTCCTGTCCCCCTCTCGCTCTTTACGTCTGTTTTCCGTCTCCCTTCCGCTCTTCGGCCTGCGGGAAGCACGGCCGAAGTGGTTCGCGAGACGAAAGGGTGATCGAAGTTGACGAGCGGATCAAATAGATTTCGAGCCGGCGGCCATTAATATTAATACCCGCCCTACCCCGATCGGGATAGATTGCTCGGGGTAAATCGCCGGTAATCTCGCCAAGTTCTACTCCCCATGAATATGCAAAGTCCCGCGATACCGCGTAAACGAGTGTTGCGTTGCGTCCCGCCGCGAGACGTGCACGCTGGCGCCGCCATTGCCGTCCGCCGTCCATCTTGCGCGACGCGCAAAATGGCAGCTGGCAGACCTAACTCTTTATGTTCGCAGATGATTGAGCATATCACGTACGATACAATTTAAATAAATCGCATGGTTTCTCTTTTGGTTTTCCCTTTATAGGTAAATCTAGATTTATTTTTTGGAAATCTTGACTATCGTTCCTGGTAACCTCAATCTTTATGGATTCATTGTCTCTTCCAAAAATCGTTCATATATATTATCAGCACAATGTCTTCATATTCTCAATTCCCATTTGAAACTTCGGAACTTCACATGTCATGATCCTTAATATTTTCCGCAATACTCAAATTTTAATTCTAAATTCATCCGGACATCCGAAGCAGCCTATCTTACAAGCTTCAGTATATCAAACTTCCATTACTTCGAATGCACGACAAATCATTCCCCGAACATCCAGTTTCACGGACAATTACTCCAACGACGGGACGAGTACGTATAACTAGGATCGAGTTCGAGGGCGGCTCGATTTCTTCATAGAATTTCCAAGCAGCTGAAGATCCAGAGGTCGAAGAGGCAGGCGCGGGAGCTGGGTAGGCGGGAGGAGGTCGTAAAACGCGGAAACGCAGAAATTCGGCCCCCTAATGAAACCATAGATCTCGTTTCTGGAGTGGTTCGAGGAGCGTGGTCCTCGTTACCCGGTGCCGGGTTCTCCGTTCGATGCTTCCGGTCTCTCCGCCTCTCTTTCTGGCCCATTGGCCAAGTCGGGGGCGGACAGCCCCGTGAATTCCGCTAGCAGGCTCGCGTCAGCCCAAATAGACCCAGGCCGCGGTACACACGTACGCGGCAGTAATCCAGGAATTTCTAATAAGCGTGCGCCCCACTTTCGGAATTCATTTCGACGTTACTGCTGCTGCTGCTGCTGCTGCTGCTGCCTCAACAAGACTCGCCTCGCGGGAACGCGGATAATGAATTTGGATCTCGTGGCAGCGGCAGCTTACGGAGGTGTCCCGGCCCCGTCCCGACTTCTTCACCCGGAAGCCAGACAGCGGCTCGATAATTATTTCGTCGTCACCGTGTTGGAACCTGTCGGGGACCTGTCGGACGGATCATTCTTTCCACGGATCGTGGAATCGGCTTTTGTCACTTTCGGGGACGGCTGGATGGGCCGAGAAATCTAGGCGATCGGGAGAACTAGATCACGAGAATTTACACTTCTCTGTTTGTCCTATGGAAAGGATAGACTGGTACTTTCTTTTTTATTCAATTGTGAGTGTTTAGAACTTTTGAAGTAACGTTACAAAGTCAAAAGCTTCAAAGTTTCGGAGTTCAAAAATCCCAAATTCCGGAAGTTACAATAGTTTGATGCTTTGCTGTTTATCGAATTGTGAATGTTTGGAACTTCTGAAGTTGCAACGTTCCAAATTGTAAAATTCCAAAGTTCCAAAATTCCAAATTTCTAAAGTTTCAAAATCCCAAAATCCCAAAGCCCTGACGCTGCAAAATCTCGAAGTCCCAAACCTCTAAAGTTCCAAAGCTCCAGAGTTCCAAAATCCGAAATTTCTAAAATCCCAACGTTCCAAAGTCCCAAAGTCCAAAAGTCTCGACGGCCCAGAATCTCAAAGTCCCAAACATCTACAGCTTCAAACTCGCGAACCCCTAAATTTCCATTCAATTACAGTCCTCCCGAGTCACTCGCAAATCGAATTCCGAACGCTAAATACACCCCTCGCTGGAGTAACCTTGTACACATCCCACCGAAAAAGTTCCAGCACTTCGTACATTTTTCTCCGTCAAACACTGCATTTTCCCTTCTTGACATTTCCCTCTAACATCCACCCCAACGTACACGTTCGGATGTCCCTGTTCTCCCAACCCGCCTCGCGTAAGCACCCACCTACAGGTATACAACGTCCCGATTTCGACCGGAAGTAGGGCTCGAAGAATCGAATTCCCGCAGCCGAGACGCGCGTTCGACGAGCCGACGAAGCGCGACGGAAGGCAAACAAATCCGAGAGAAAGGAGATTTCCCGTCCTCGCTGGGGTCTTTTCACGAGACAAGACTTTTCTATCCGGCGTCTCGTCTTCGGGCCATTAGGAGGAGCTGTTATGCTCGTCCTCGGGAAATCGCTCGTTTCCCAGGGAATATATTTCT